CTTCTATAATTTAGGACTGAGTCAGGGAAATATAAGGTTCGTTAAATAGTAAATATTCCTAGTACCGTGTGACACTATTGTTAACGAAAAGTTTTTGCAACTTGTCAAAGAGGTTGTTGAATGATCTTCGAATAACTTTTGATGAGCTAGAGGTAATGGTTCTATCTGCAGCTCGTGGACTTCTGTACGATATTGTCCAGAATCATCTAAATTTTCAAAAAGTGTCCGCTTGTTCGATACCCAATTTGCTCATTCATGCATACAAGGAGAAGCGCATGAAAGCTTTAGCAGACATTTTGGAGATGAATCAAGAATTAGATGAAGAATTTATGACTTAAATCACGGCACCTTAATCACGGGATGACCTTAATTACGGCAACTATTTATTGTCCATGAGATGCAGATGGTTCCATTTCCCTAGCTCATCAAAAGGTATTCGAAGATCAATTTCATCAGCCACCCGTACGAACCACGTTTCTAGTGACCCGTACTTGCTTCGCACGTATGAAACATACAATCAGAGAAAACAGAATTCATCTTACAATAATCAATAATCAGTAGGACATGAATCGTTGCGATGTATAATACGACATTATAATGCGGCATTACTATTGTAATTCATTTTAATGGATTAGGGGCATTATAAATCATTATTGCCACGTCGGAATGAAATGTTGTAGACTGAATTGAAAAGCATGTTGGCAAAATTTATTATAAAAATAGTATAACATGTAGGTACATAACATAAAGGTAATACAAATTAAATGATTAGAGCGTGTATATTTCATTACATTATAGGTATATTACAATCATTTTTGTCATTGTTGGAAATTTTGATAGTTTGAAATTTGATAGTTGATAGTTGATAGTTTGAGAGTTGAAAATTTGGTTATTTTATTTAGTTAAGGTGATTCGATAGACGCCATATTTTGTGTCAGAATGGCATGCGACATATCCCATCAATTGGTTCCATTTTTTCATTTACTCATCATTTTTCTCCAATTTTAAGTTTCGCAATTCTGTTTTCAGGAGACTAAAGCACTCACTTATCAATTTGTATATTTATATTGAGTTAAGGGTAGAGACCGCGTATTCCTCAATTGAGGAATGGAGGTGTTACAGTAAGCGACGATCAACGCTACGATACTGGAAGCCAGTCTTCCGATATTAAATCCCTAGCGGGGAAGAAAAAAAATGCCTAGATTTTGCTAAAAATCCCTAAATCCCCAGATTTGCTCAAATATACTTAAAAAATCCCTAGATTTTGCAAAAAGCGCCATTTTTAACGAAGAATCATGATGTCATTCGATGTAGCGATTTGCAATATTTAAATCTGATTGGCTCGTTTGAATTTTGGCGCTCTCTGAAAGCAGTGCTAATCCAGACCAATAAAATGAAAGAATATTAGTTGATTTCTTATTATTAACAGGTTGAATGCAGTTGAATGTCAAGTACATCGAAGGACGCAATCGTTTTAATTTCCGGCTTATTTGCGGGGAAAATAGTGTTGCCAAAAAGGCCTACAAAATATAGATGAAAAAATGTTTTCGATTGTCGAAGCTAAATTTTTGAAATTCTATAAATACATTGAGGCTTTAAAAATAAAAAAGAAGAGCAAGACACTAGTGAGGAACTCTTGAACTATAGGTTAATGAGCTATAGATTGTGCATAGAAATTGCCAGTCTAAAGTTTCAAGAATGAGAAAATAATCAGCCCATGAGTGGGTCCAGAATGAGGGAGAAGGAAAAGTTGAAATAATTTTACTGGAAGGAGGGATAAATAAGGTACTCACCGAATTTATTCGTACAGAACATTCAAAAATCCCGTGAAAAAACAGCTCACAAATAAAAGCAAATTGCCATAGAAACTTCTTCACGAAATCACACACACAACGAAGAACGAGGCGCTACAGACGAGTCCGTCCAGGACAAGTTAAAAAATTCCCATGAGCCGAGTGCCGTAGGTTAAGGGCCCGTTCGCCAAAACTAATCGGAACTGTATGAATGAATTGCTCCTTTTAAAAATCAAAACAATATCGAATTGCGATATATTACACAGTTAAGATAGGGCTATGTCCTGTCGTAAGCGGCGACATACAGTCGATATCATTTCAATAATCGCCCCAATGGCCACGATAGTTGTTAGACGTTTACGGTTTCCCTGGTAACCTTTGTTTGCTATCAGCTGATATCAAGTAATATGACTAGGAAGCTCCAACCCAGTGGTTAAAGCTTCCTTAACCGCGAAAACTTTAAAATTCAAATTTTCAAATTTTGAACGTAAAGTGCAAGCACCAGAGCCGCTAAAATTAAAATTACTATACTTCAACTCTCAGAAAATGAGAGATTTTGTCGCCTTTTCTCGTTTGCAATGTTTTTCCTAAATCGGATTTATTTTTGACACCTACATTTGAAAAAATTGCAAAATTTGCCGCCACGGGCCCCGGCCCTGCATACGGCGTTATTCCTTAGCGCAGCAGTGTGGCTTATATCACTATTAATTATTCATTTTGTTTGTTTTTTCAGGTGAGTTAACATTCATTTATGGACTAAGAACTTACGTCAGGTCTGGGTGCAAGGTAATAATAAGCATGTTTTCATTATCATGTAATAGAATATACAATAATGTATTAAAGCACAGTACAATATTACCTCCTACATGTGAGGGAAAACTTTTCCCATCGTGGATTTCGATGAAAATAGGATGTTTTCAAACGAAAAATATTTATTTTCGTTGCCTATCCGCAAAAAAGAACCAACATTTCGACGGTGAAACTACCAAACCACGTATCTCGTTAGCGGTTTTTACAAATCTCCGCTCCCATTTTATTTTTTTGAAGGAGAACAAATTAATATATTTGATCCATTTAAACAGTTAGTGCTCAGCACTATATCGCTTTTTCCGCGTGTATGTTGTTTCTAAAATGATCCAGCAATTGTGATTCCTTATTGCAAAATGTGGTCCAAGTGATCTCTATCAGCTCCGATCTGGCGCACCTGCTTTTGTGGGTTCGTGACTCTAAAATTCGCCTGCGTCTCCAACGAACGACCCTGCGCAATGCGCATGCTGTCACCACGCCATCCTGATAGATAACACATGTTACCGAAAGCAACATTAATTCAAACCTACTTATATGTCCCGTAAAATTTCCATTGAATGAGGACGTCTCTCTCACTAAATACTTTCCAATCATCATTCCCGGTATCATTCCATTGGCAACTGTTTTGCCAACGAGGCGTAACATAGTTACATACGAGTAATATTTTCGTTGTGAGGAAAGGACTTTGGTCTTAAGCAGGAAGTGTTCTAGCTAATAATAAATACATTTTAGTGATTGTAAAAAAAAGAGATCGGAAACCTCCAGCGCGTTCTACTATCATTCAGCACCAAATATTTTTCTTGTGTGAATGACATCATTCACCGTGGTTTTTAGATGCATGACGATACGTCTCCACTGAAATGGACGCCAAAACTTGGTGTTTGAACAGATCTCACTGCTTAGCCGACGGAACTCAATTTTGAAAACACGAATCTATGATTAGTGTAACCAACCAATCACGAATGTCTAACACCGGATTAATAATATTTTATTACAGTGTTTTCTCAGCATATCGTGAGAGTAACATGATAGTCTACGACCCCATACGAAATAAAACTATTTCTCATAATCCAGACCCCTCTCTCCGCACACCAAGCGTGATACAATATATCTTCGAGTCAAAGACTAGATCCTGTACAAGCGATATATGCCTAGTTTTATCGCTCTTTACACCGGAATAAGATCTGATGGCCAACTTTCTGAATAGTGAAATACACCCGCTCAGCTAGCAGAGTTTCGTCTGTCTACCTAGCCATGCGAGACAGGAACTTACAATTTCGGCGAGATCCAGAGGATTCATGCTCCTTGACTTTACAGCATTGCCGAGCTATTGATCATAATTTTTAAATTTTAAGCATTTACTTGATTCAACCACGTTTGCTTGCGGATCTTAGTTTTACCATACAAAATGTTTTTCATCAGAAAAAAGGTGGAGGGATATTAAACAGAAAAAAGCAAGTCGCACATGTAGAAAAATATTAGTTAGGAGTAGTTTGAACTTTACCAGCCACATATTCTTTCCTGTAAAAGTTTCCGAGTGGAGAAAAAAATATCTATAATATGGAAAGAGGCGTTGAACTTTGCCTATAAAATTGCACTTTATTGAAGGTTAAAACTTCATTGTCTTTTTTTGGCTCCCTCTTGATGTAACTGGGGTTAAATTCGGTCCAAATGCAGTTGCGAGGTGAGAAGAAGCAGAGTGCCTCCCATGAAATGGACCTCTTATGTCTTTTTTCATGGAACCTGGGATTTGAATTGTCAGAGAGCTTAAATAAAACCTTATGATAGTAAAAAAAAATGTTTCAATTAGGAGTTTTAAAAAAAAATTTTCAAATTAATAATTTAAAAAAAGTAGTAAAAGTTTTAACTTTAAGTTCGATAACGCTTTCAATGATACAGCATTCCAAATTTAAAGTAGCGTTAAAATATGCTTGTATATGAGGTAAAAATGTAAATTTAGTATTGCTGTGTCGGCAAAACAAGCTTTGAACCTAAGTTAAACATTACAATGAAGGCTTTTCTCATGAAGAGGTTTTGTTTTAACAACATATAAACGAATATTTCGAGCTCCCAAAAACAGGTACCTTCTTAAAGGCTGCTATATCGACGGTGAAAGTCGGCAATCACATAACTCGGTTTGCGAAGTCGCAGACTTCCTGTCATACTTTATTTTTTAAATGGAAAACTACTCAACGGCAATTCTTTAAAACTGTCATGATTTTTCTTCTCAATGCGAAGAAAATTCTGCAAAAACTTCAAGAAATAATATCAATTTGTTCTCCTTTAGAAAAATGACATAGAGGCGGAGATTTTCAGACACCGCAAACGAGTTATGTGATTGCCGACTTTCACCGTCGATATGTATTATAATGCTGGAAAGGGAAAATTAGAAGAGATATATTCATTCAGTGTTGGTTATAATATAATTTGATGTAAAAGGTGAAAAAAGGTGAACAATATCAAAAAGAAAAATATACATAACATCGATGTAATTGTATGTTCATAGTGCGTCAGCAAAAATTATCATGCAAATTCCACTTCCTAAATGTTTAACTGTACGATATTCTAAAAGTTAGAAAAATATGCAAATATTCTTAATATTTGACAGGTCAACGTCCTCTCTCGTCTGTCGTCAATATTCTCTTGGGATTTTAGAGTTCGTTGGTCGGTTTTGGTGGGAGTCCCTAAAAATTGTATTCTAAATTGTATATAATTCAATTGCAAAAACCAATTTTCTTCTCGTCATAATCAAACTCATGAGTTACTTTCCACGAGAGAGGACTGATCGTTTCGAGAAACAAGAGATCTTTTCAGTGATGTCGCACGGGCGAAATCGCGATTTAAAGCGCTTCTATGAAAAACGTTAATACTAAAAATGTTTTACCTGAGAATGAATGTGAAATTTCATTGACTCTTCACATTCACGGAGCAGATCCGATGCTTCTTTTAGGGACCGTCCATAAAGTACGTCACCAAAGGTGGGGGGAGGGGGGCTCTAGCTGTGGATGACGGTGGGTGAGGGGGAGTGGGGGGTCAAGCCCAGGATGATGTAATCTCTCTTGAAGGCGAAAAGGCTGAAAATGCTTGATTGCAATTTAATACGTTGATGTTCTTAACGCTGCAAACTAGATAAACTGAATTTTATCGATTTTCTGCGTTTTCTCCCATAAAGAATAGAAAAACGCAACATATCCTTAATACTCGATAAATTAATCATGTTTTTTACGCTGCCGACTTTATCTGCTGATTTTGTACAGCTATTCTGCGTTTTCTCCCAAAAATTGGGGGGAGGGGGTACGCTGAGGATGTCGTAATTTTTACCCGGGGGTCTAGCAGTGGATGACGATTGGATACACTGAGGAAGGGAGGGACGAAAAATTGGAAAAAATGGGTTACGTAATTTATGGATGGCCCCTCTCCCTAACAGTTGCCTGCCCAGGGTTCTTGTGATATCCAAAAGAGAAGAAAACGTTAATAATCCGTGTTAAACGTGACAAAAACAGACGATCGCGGTAATAATTTTGCGCTTTTAGTTTTTAGGTGTATTTTGGGCTTAACCACAGCATTTGCTCCGTCTCGTTATTCCTGCCTCTTATATTGGGAGCTTTATGATGATGCCGGTTATTTTCTTAAAGTGTTCCGATGCGGCTCTCAAAGGTTGAAAATGAGACTCGGCCGGTTCATCTTTCGGCGGCTGAGGCTGCGAATCGGTCGCGATCTCCTTCTTCTGGTTCGTATCCTCCTTTTGAGTGTTATACTCTGTCTGGTTAGCACCCTCCGTCTGGCTAGTTTCCTTCGCTTGGCCAGCATCCTTCGTTTGACTAGCATCCTGCGTTTGACTAGCAGCATCCTTCGTTTGGCTCGCGTCAGTTATCAGCATGATAGGGTGATTCCCGTGATCCATGTAGAGATTATGCTGAAATACATTTTGAGAATATTTTTAGAAACCTCACGACCAAAATCAGGGTAACCATTCAAACGCGGCTGGACAAATCGTCACCTTCCGGCTCGAACATCACCAGCCATTCGACGTTCCAAAATTTTCCATTTTATCTTTTTACACATAAATTGTTCAACAAAGCTGTTCGAAAATTTCATTGAGTTTTCTTCGCGCTGCCAATAAAATTCAGTAAAATTTTCGAACATTTTCAACCAACCGTTTCTCTGTACAAAAATAAAATGACTGCGGAAATTTTGAAACGTCGTAAAACAATCTCTTGTTTCACTAGTAATTGATATGTTCGTCGAAAACCATAAGTTGATCGTCTCATTGTGCAAAATTAAATTACAATATTCATACTTCTTCGTGTCTAAAATCACAATATTCTGACATTTTCAAATCTTACTAAGTTTATTATTCTCCACTTTTCAAGGTAGCAAAACTTTTGCTGTTTCTAACATTTGCGAGGGATCAACGCGAAAAAACGTCTCACTGTCAGTGCGGGTCTTATTCCACCCAGTGCATGGCGTGCTTTGCGATAAATCGATTGATCTATCATTTAAAACTATGGTAAGGGATCGATTATTAAGGTGTTCGCAACGAACACACGAATAATCGATTCTTTTTCATAGCTTTAAATGGGGAAATATCGATAATCGATCATTCACGCCTCGCCACTAGTTCCGCCCTCTCTGAGAGATTCCATTAAAAATTAGAGAAAAAACTTACCGCCTGCCTTCGAATATAAGTTTTGACCAAAATTGATAGTTGTATGTGCAATCTGATGACGGTTAATATAGGCGGTGCCCCTACGTTCTTCAACACCACGCGGCCGACTACATTCCTAAGCTCTCGCAAAGAAGGAACCTGGATGATAAAATTAATAATTGATTGAAGCAAAAATGAATAAATCGATAGAAATAAAACGATCTGGTACATACAATTCAAATCAACAAAACAGTAAATGAATACATGAAAATAACTTCTAAAGTAGCTATATACCAAACATATTTTAAATATTTTCCCCATGTACCCTTGGAATTTTCTTAGAAATAACGAGACAATTAATGTCATTCTTTTGATATCAAAATAAACGTCAAAAATGCGGTTCATTCAATAGCTACAATTAAACGCACAGTTGAAGTGAGCTTCACAAAGTCTGGAATGCTTTTTTGAACATCCTGCAGAATAAGTTAATTTGCCACTTTTAAATGAAGATGTGTAGTTGGTTAGTTACTTAATTTACGACGATCACCGACCAGGCTATTTACGTCGGGGACCAGGAAACCTTAAATTTTTAAATTTAATTGCTTAAAAAGTTTTAAAATGTCGGTGACTAATATTGGATCATCTGAGCTGAAAGGATGAATGTTATGAGGGAGGGAATTTTGAATTCTGATGCGTGTAGCATACGTTTTTGGGAAAGGAAGTAAAATATAGTCGATTGTATTATAAGGGGGAAATGTTGACACATAGAGAGCATAATGGAATTGGAGATTTTGAAATTAAAGGAAAATGAGAGAAAAAAGTATAGCCGATTCGTAGTCTTGCAATTTGGACTTCGCAGGTGCGGTATAATCAAACATATATAGAGTGGGGATCTATAAGTGGAGTAATTTGACCAAATATACTTCTTCAAAATATGACACAGGAAAATGAAACCCTGCTGGCTGTTAACATGAATGACAAAGTAGAATATAACTTACCCTGATTCCTGGATTCTTAGGAGGTCTCTGAAAAATAGAAAAATAAAAAAATTACTTTATAACGTTTGCAAAACACTGCTCTTGCGGATAATCGAGGAATATTACTTTTATTTTTTTCTTTAAGTTGGTGACAAATTTTGTGAGAGATGTTTCAATGAACTCTGAATGTTAAGCTGCCTTAATTTTTACAAAAAAAAAAAAAACTAATCAGGCAGGAAATATGGCGACATCCGAAGGTTCGTATCACGCAACCGCCCAGTTTCTGTTCATCAACCCCTTTCACAGTTTCTAACTACACTGGGGAAAAAACACATTGGATCTAGAGTCCAGACTCTTGAAAACATTGAAAAGAAAAAGGACTCTTGATTCAATCAGATCTAAGCCTAAATCAAAAAAAAATCCGCTTAAATTAAGAGACTTGATTCTTGATTTAAGCTTAAATCTGATTGAATCAAGAGTATTTTTTCTTGTCGATGTTTTTAAGAGTCTGGACTCTGGATCCAATGTGGTTTTTTTTTTTTTCAGTGTAGACCCCTGCGCTACTTGCTTCCTAAGTGCACACAAAAAAATATATAGTAAGTGCGGAATCATACCAATTTGTATTTGGCAACCAGCGAGAATCCGTTGGGGATGGGATCCACGACGGACTGGACATAGGTTGACAGCTCAGCGGCGATGTTGAACTTGGCAAGATCCGTCACCTTGGGGGCGCTCACGGTGATGAGCTCGACGGCGCGGTGGAAGAAGGGAGTAACTGCGTTGCTCAAACTGACGTAGACCTTGAAGAGGAACTCGGCGTTCTGCTGATCCCCAGGGGCGAGCGCCATCAGCTCGTCTTTCAGATTGGGCAGTTCCTTGAAGAGCGGAGCCAGGTCAGGGTTCTCGAAGACGCGCTCCAAGGGATGCGGGCTGCACGTCGGCGGCGCGAACAGGTCCGAAACCGGTGTCAGGGCGTTCGTGATGGTCGCCATCGACCAATACGGCCCGGGGGCGTATTTTTCGGCCAATGCAGCCGCCTGCGGCCCTGATTTTTCGGCCACCTCGCCGGAACCAGGCCCAGATTGGTTGGGGTCTGCGGGCGGTGGAGGTATCTGATTATCGACCACCTCAACCGAGTTTTCGCAGCTGGCGGTTGTCAGTAAAGCCACGGCCACGAGAACCTAAAGGAATTTCATGGTTTCTTTAATATCATAATATACAGACTTTTGGGGGGTCAAGTTGTAGTATCAGGGTAATCAAAGTTGTAGTGGCATTTACCGAGTCTACTCTTAATATCGTTCTTTTTCAGAGGTTATAGGACATTTCGTCAACGATTTTTTTGTCCGAGCACTTGTTTTTTCCACGCGTTTTTTCGAAAGAGGAAATTTTGGTCCACTTACCAATTACTGGGACTCAACATTAATTGGTCAACATGTAAATACAAACGACATTTGCTCACGACGTTTTTGAATGAAATGTATGATGTCAACATGTATGAATGTATGATGTATGATGCACGACGTCATGTCCAGGCAGCTATGCTGGTATGGACATGTGCAAAGAATGTCGGAGGAGAGGTTGCCCAAACAAGTTTTGGATTGGGTACCACCTGGGAAGAGGCGACGGGGACGTCCCGTAAAGGGTTGGCGGCAGGGCGTTGACGAAGAGATGTTGCGGTGTCAGTTGCCCGATAACCTCTGGGAAGACAGGCATATGTGGCGTTTGGGTGTCGTAGAACGCCAGAGTGCGTTATAAAGCGACTTTTATATATATGTATGATGTCTTGGAAGAATGAGGGTTTGCTCGTTTTTTGTTTGTTTGGTTGGCCAAACGGAAACAAATATATAATTGAGAATTTTGGCGTCAATTTCATGAAGGAAAATTCACTCAAACTCTGCACTCCTCTTTTGTGCAACAGGACTTACTTATCTTTCAAGAAAATCCCATCTTCTTACACCTGAGCCGGATGAACCTTTTGATTTTCTTCAGCTAAAGGCTCTTAGATTTTTCCTGTGTACGATAACTTCGCGACGGCGCGGCGCGGCGTCAGCGTGCCGCGGCGCTTCAAACTACTATTTCGCCATGAAGATGTTGCACAGTATCATACAAGATTGAAGGCACCCCAACGTATCATGATTGATGGCATCTTTCAAAAGCACGAAGTTCCCTCGAAAATTAAATCGAGTGACGACGAAAAAAAGAGAGCTGTAGTCGAAAAACTTGCTAAGTCCTAGTATCTGGAACCAGTAAGGTTTAGCATTATTTTTGAACTTATTTAAAGGAAAAAGTGACTTGATTCAAGCATAAATATGCTCAAATTTACCGCCTAGAAGATTTCCTTATAAATTAATAAAGAAAATAATGCCTGTTTAGAGAAAAAAGGATGCTTAAATAGAAAGAAAAGTCACTTAGATCAAGCAAAAACCCGCTTTTAATCAGCTATTTTATTCTTGATTCCAAATAAAATCTTCTTGACGGCATACCCAAGAATGTTTCTGCCTAAATCGAGTCACGTTTTTCTCTAATGAAATTTAAAAATTATGCTAAACGTTATTAAATACGGATTCTAGGACTAAGTAAGTTTTTTAGAGTACCGCTCTCTTTTTGTAACGTAGTATCTTGATTTATTTTGCAAGGAAAGCTCTGTAACCTTAAAGGAAGCTTGTCATTCTTGATAAGTTGGAGCGCCTTCAATATCGTATGATACTGTGCAACACCTATGAGGCGAAATAGTTGCTTGAAACGCCGTGGCACTCCGCGGCGCGGCGGGCGACCAGCGTGACATAAGCATATGCGCCTACAAATCTAACAGGGATACTTCACGCATTGCGCAACGCGTGAAGTATCCCGTTAGGTTTGTAGGCGCCAGTGCGCATTTCGCTCTGTGTTAGGTTCTAATATTTAAACTCGCGGAGTTAGCGTTTTTCAACTCATGATTTTAAAATGTTTGCACGCTCTGCACAGATTATTCTCATTTAAATTGATGAAAACAAAAATTGTATTAAAGGCAAATATAACGTGTGTTTTGAAAATATTAAGGTGATTCCGTGTCTAATTTTATGATTTCCAAAGCTCTTTAAATTTTCTTTTATACTTTGTGCTTTTACTGTGCTGCAGCGTGGTGTATTCGCAACCAAATGCTCAAAATCGATGTAAAAGTAGGTCAAAACCAAAGATTGCGTCCTCCTTGGTTTTTTCTCTCTCTTTTTCATTCTTGTATAGTTCCTTTAACACAAGTACGGCTCTTTGAGATTAATATCGATGCCTTCGTTTGGAAAAGGTTTTACAAATATTTGCCACGTTTTAAAAATATAATGTTTTTAAAATGAAGTAATCTTATCATTTAAAAAAAAGGTATATATATATACGGTATATTTTAAATCGACAATTTTATAGATAGAAATAAAACTAAATATTCACCAATGAAAATTTGAAAGATGAATCAAAAGAAGAAAGTAACAATTCATTGAAAAAATGAGTTACTATAACAAAACCTTCTCTCTCAATTTTCTAATTCGATATTGTCAATATAATTTTACATACGGACTGAAATATAACCTTTGGACCAAGTCACTGTTTCTTATTTTACGCGTGGACCTAAATTACTGGACTAAACAGGTGCCCGGACAAAAAATCTTAAGTGGAATGTCCTGAAAGTGAATGAAGTGGAGAAGTATTACATTTTTGCAAACTATAAGTTAAGAACGAATGGATAGTTTAATAATTTTATATTGTCGTTGCCACTGAAAAGTTAATGGCTACGTCGAGCAGAAAAGTGAGTACTGTAGATAAGTTTTATTTTCTCTCGTAGTTCACTTACGGAAAAGTCAATTTCGTGGAATCTCTTGTACCTTATTTTTTTTTTAAAAAAAAATGACATGTATCATCATAACCTGACACTTAAATAACCCTCGCCGGTTGACTTAAACTTGTGCAAAAATTAAATTTTTAAAAAGTCCGTCCCTGTTACCATTACCATGAAAGTTCACGTTAAGGTATGCCACGTAAGTTTCCTACGCGGTGTAGCATATGCCGACAATCAGTTGAATCAGTAACAACTGCTTTTGCACCGGCAACTATAAGTCACGCAATAGAATTGAGTTGTGTAATAACGACAAGATAACATACGAGCGCTGTATCAGTATCAGGCATCGTAAGGCGTTGCGTTTTCTCCTTTAATTGTAAGACACAGCTCGACAAAAAACTGAAAAGCTGCAGAAAGAATCCTGATGACTTATAAACATCGTTCCATCATTGGAAGAATATTTTGCGGAAACAGTTCTCTGCTCACTGTCTTCCCTCGCTATCTCGATGTTCCGCATTCGTTATTGGTCGGTGGTAAACGATATTATCCATTTTTCCTGAATCTTTATCCCTACGGCAGTTATTGCACATATAATTTAAATTGGCATTCTTACAAATGGACTGCATTTTGCAATTTGGAACTATAAATTTTGGCCCGGTTTAAAAACAACGTATGTGCTATTAGTTTCCGTATGCACGTAAGTATTTTTTCGTATGAGCCAGAATTGATAGTTCCAAATTGCAAAATGCAGTCCAAATGATTTAATTGATTGTACTCTGCATTTGGGGATGTCTTGAAGTCTGTTTTTAATCAACCTTTCTACACAATTTTTCGTTTCAGTGGATTATTCATTGGTTTTTCTCTTTTTGATGGAGTTTGTAACTACAGTCTCAATAGATC